GCCACACAAGGAACAGAAGCTCAAAAGAGCCAAGAAAGCCTTCCCCTAGCGTCAGCTCCCTGAATTCGGACTTCTAGCCTCCTAAACTGAAAAAAAATAAATTTGTTTGTTAAAGCCATCCACTTGTGGTATTTCTGTTACAGCAGCACTAGATGACTAAGACAGGTGGGAATTCAGTTCACTGCCAGTCTTGGTAGGACCCCCTGCCGAAGGCAGTTAACTCATGAATGGACCCCACTATAGAAAGCAAATAAGGCCTATGTGTATTCCACTCTGGTTTACAGATCAGGAAACGCTTCCAGAGTCATGTTTAAGAGGCTGACTTTTTTTCCATCTAAGCAAATACTGCTTCTTTGGCAGCAGTTGGGCAGATACCACCGCACACTTCTCCGGGCTCCCTGCATTTCTAATATGTGTTCACTGGCCAAAGTGAGCGAGTGAAGATTAGCTGGTTCTTGCTAACCAAGGGCTGCCACTGAAATATTTCAGAACGCAAAAAGCAGCAGAATCAAAAAGCCCAGAAGATTTTCCCTCAAGATCAGTCTTTTCAAATGGAACAAACTGGACACAAACAGTGACTAATGCACCTTCAGTCAAGGGAAAGAGGGGTTTCTCCTTAGAAGGAAGGGCACAGGCAAGGCTCACAAAGGGTCAGAAGATTCTCCTTCTACCTTGCCCCATAGAGAAACATTGCATGAGAGTGCAGCAGAGGAACTGTGTTCTCAGACGTTGCTGTTTCACTGTGAAGACTGAGTCACAAGCAGAGTGAGGAGGATGGAAGATGGGTCTGGGAAGGTTTATGGTAGTGTCATGGATTGAACTGTGTCCCCCAAAAGTAGCTGTCAGCTTGGCTAGGTGATGATTCCCAGTACTGTATGACTGTCTACCATTTTGTCATCTGATGTGATTTCCCTATGTGGTGTAAATCCTATTACTGTGATGTAATAAGATGGATTAGCAGCAGTTACACTGATGAGGTCTACAAGATTCGTGTCTTAAGCCAATCTCTTTTGAGATATAAAAGAGAGAAGGGAGCAGAGAGACATGGGGACCTCATACCATCAAGTAAGCAGTGCCGGGAGCAGAGAGCGTCCTTGGACCTGAGGTTCCTGCGCTGAGATGCTCCCAGACCAAGGGAAGACTGACGACAAGGACCTTCCTCCAGAGCCGACAGAGAGAGAAAGCCTTCCTCTGGAGCCAGTGCCCTGATTTCGGACTTCTAGCCTACTGGACTGTGAGAGAATAAACTTCTCTTTGTTAAAGCCATCCATTTGTGGCATTTCTGTTACAGCAGCACTAGATAACCAAGACAGGTAGTCAGGGACATTATAAGTGTCTTTATTTATATATAGTGCACTTTCCCTTAAGATTTTCTTGGAGAAAGGTGTTAATTTGAGTCCTCCAAGACAATGTCTTATCTACCTTTGTATCCCTGATCCCAGGACATTATGCTCAAGAAATGATTCTGAATTATTTTTTAAAATCTTTCTGTAAATAACATGCTGCTAAACTTGCAATCCTGCCTGATATTAAACAAATTAAATATATCTAAATTAAATATATCTGAAGGTCCCATAATCAGCTCTTTACAAAATGTACTAGAAAATATAGCTCTTGTTCATACTTGGAGCTTAATATTGGCCTTTAAAAATAATAATAATAATAATAATAATAAAAAACTGCATCACCAGACTCAACAGCTAGGGGCAGGCCATGAGGACACTGTCTTCCTTCTGGATGGAGCAGAGGGCCTTCTGAGGCTGGACTTGTCCTGATCGCTGCTACCCGACACTATAAACCGCTCATTACACTCATCAGTAATTCTCCGGCACTTGTTAAAGTGTCAATAAACACTTCAAAGATTTATAATAATTAAGGAAATGATTACAGCTCATTCCCACCATATAATTAGTAACATGGATGCTAACTGACAATTTACATCTGCCCCCTAAGTCATCATTTACAAGATCACCAGGTAACCGATGTCTTGCTGAATAAGCACCTCAGTATAAAAACAAACTGAAAATAAAATGCTGTGAGCTGAGCTTGAAATGCCAGAGCTGCTTAACTAAAACGTTCTCATCAAACCCAGCAAAAACCAACTTGATGAATGTCCATATATTTTTAAGAGATCCTCCCATCTTTTTCCTTGGACTGCACGTGAAAGGAGCTGAAATTCATTACCATCTCTCTCCCAGTATGTTTCTAGCATCTCTCGGCTGCAAGATACAAAACGCGGCCATGTGTACCGACTTCCTAGTTTCATTTCTCTTTCCTCACCGCCCAGACTACACAGGCACTCAGGGCAAGAGCAGGTTTCACTTCCCTGCCTTTTTCTCCAAGACACGATTCCAATCAAAATTCAGAGCTGTTCTAAAACCACGGGCAGAGCCAGAAATCTGGTCTTCTGAAGTACTCACCATGAATATCACCTTCTCCCTAGAAGAAAAAAACATTGAAAAGTTTACTTCAGATTTGAACTCTGCAATCCACAAATAAAGCAGTCACAGTTCCCTGCAGTGTAACATCTACTGGAAACCAAATGTGGAATTCCATTTTTTAAAATATATAATCTATTTTATTTTTTGTTGTTGCTAACAACAGACAAAGCAAAAACATACATCAATTCAAGTTTCTACAGGTACAATTCAGTGACAGGTTCCTCCATTATATAAGCTCACTACCCTATCTAATGTTAGCTAATCACTGTTCCCATCTGTTGTCAATTTGATCCCATATAGATAGATCTTAAAAGAGCACCATGCTCAAGGCAGACATTCTTTACTAATTAAGCTAAACCATTGTTTGGTTTTAAGACTTCAGGGGATATTTCTGGTTTAAGGTTTAAAGAGTACCTTAGAGCAATAGTTTTTGGGGCTGGAATCACGTTTTGATGCAATCAAGTACAGGGTCAGACCATCTTTATAAAAGTAACCTTTATTCAACTTGGGACCATGCTATACAAAAATTCTGCATGACCAATGGCCCCTCAGAGCCCTGGTGGCACAGTGGTTAAGAGACTGGCTGCTAACCAAAAAAAGGTCAGCAGTTCAAATCCACCAGCCGCTCCTTGGAAACCCTATGAGAGGCAATTCTATCCTGTCCTGTAAGGTTGCTATGAGTCAGAATCAACTTGATGGCAGTGGGTTTTAATGGCCCCCAACACCTAAACATCTGATACCAACTGCCACTTCAGAGGGTCTTTTATCAGAACGGGAAACTGGCAGATCTAGCCTTCCATTTCTCTCCCTTCCTTCTCATGTAGCTGCTGCAGAAGCCTCGATCAGTCCCAAAGGCACTTATACCTCTGCCCCCTACTCAGACTGCTGCTGCCTTGGGGGCTCTGAGGCCCCTAGTCAGGAGGACTTGCTACCCCAGACACACAGCCGGGGCTTCTTGGCAGCTCTCATGTACCACCCCAGATGCTAACACCAGTGCTGCAGGCTCCTAGTGCTCAACTCAAAGCCCTGGGCAGCACCGGCAAACAGCGAACAGTCCTCGAACTCCGAAATGCTACCATCTGTGGGATACACAGGAAGGAAGTGTGAGCCAGGTAAGACTAACCCTACGGGTAGAAGGGACATTTGAACGGGTCAAGGTCATGTTCACTCACTCTTCTGACTTTCTTCTCTTTATTTGTCAATCTCCCACCACTGATACGGTCTCTTTCCAAAACACCACTATGTAAAATTCCAGTGGCAGAACGGAGACCCTTAGTAAAACAAGCGGAAACTTAATTTCTACAACGTTTTCATGGCAAAGCCTTTCTTTTTCCGCATGTTATGTCACACTGACCTTCAGATCTAGAAAGTCTCTGGAGCTTGCTTCAGAAGAGTTCCTTCTCTGGGGCCAAGATGACTCAGAATCTTCCCTACCGCCACTAGACTGGGCACCTAAAAACCAAAATACACTCTATGAAAAATACAATAGGAAGACTGAGAGCAAAACACTTTAGTAACTGGCATTATGTGTTGACATCATATTACAGAATGAGAAGGTTAGGGAGGTTAAGCCTCTGGCTTAAAAATTACATATATATACTTTTCAGACAAAGATTAGACTGGGCCATGTAGGGTCGCTAGGAGTCAGGATCGACTTGACGACAACAGGTTTGTTTTTTGGTTATGGGACATAAAATGATACTCGTGAAGAGTGTGCCTCTTAGCTCAAGTAGATACATGAGACTAAACGAGCAGCTTCTGTCCGGAGGTGAGATGAGAAGGCAGAGAGGGTCAGGAGCTGGATGAACGGACGCGGGAAATCTGGGGTGGAAAGGAGGAGTGTGCTGTCACAGTATAGGGAGAGGAACTAGGGTCACATAACAATGTGTGCATAAATTTTTGTAAGAGAAACTAACTTTAATTGTAAATTTCACTTAAAGCACAATTTAAAAGAATTACATACATATAAAAACAAACCCACTGCCATCAAGTCAAATCCGACTCATGATGACCCCACGTGTTACAGAGTAAAACCGTTCCATAGGGTTTCTTGGCTGTGATCTTTGCAGGGGGCCCTGGCAGTGCAGTGATTAAGAGCTCAGCTGCTAACCAAAAGGTCGGCAGTTTGAATCCACCAGCCACTCCTCGGAAACTCTATGGGGCAGTTCTACTCTGCACTATAGGGTTGCTATGAGTTGGCATCAACTCAACAGCAATGGGTTCGTTTTGGGGGTTTTTTTTTAATTACTCTTTGCAGAAGCAGATTGCCAGGCTTTTTCTAAGAGCAGCGCTTTTGGGTAGGTTCGAACTGCCAACTTTCAGCTTGTGCCACCCTGGGATCTATGAAAAATTCTATACAGGGACTAACTAAATTTGACTTGAACCTTGCTCGGATCCACCACACAGACTCTTCGGTGTTTTCCATTTCTTAGCACCAGTCTTTCCTCTGATGATAGATTTTAACTGTTGTTTATTTTATGATTATTAAGCTAGTACAAAACCAGCTGAGGTTGTTTAACGTGGGGGCATCTCTTTGAACAGTGATTACAGATGTAAGCAATACCTGCGGACTTGGCCCAAGAAGGCGGATTTTCCTCAGATGTCCCGAAGATGCTAGAGGCCATTTTGTTCTTCCTCACAGGTTGTTCTGCTGGTTCCTCGAAGCCTAATGAGAAATTGGATCCACCACCTGGAGGCCGCAAAACCCTAGAAGTGATGGCAAAACATCTATTTCGGATCATACCAAAACATTTCTTGACATCAGTATTTTCAAACACTTTTCATTTCCCTCATCCATACGGCGCACATCCATCACATATACATCACATAAAAATCTACTAATGGAGAAAAGGCATTAATTCCATCATAGTGTAAATTCAACGCTGGATGTTAATACAGCAAATGTTGCTTTACAATATTTGTGGTAAGGTCATCACACAAGGCAGTGCCAACAGCCTGAAAGCCATCACAAATAACAGCCTAGTTGGTGTCTTCTTTGAAGGAAATGGCCGAAGACCAAATGTACCCTTTCCTACTGGACTGGACATAACTGAATATATATGCAAAGAAGTCTAGAAGCATGTCTTGTTATTTATCCATTTAAAAAGCATCTCCATTTTTATTTTCAACTAAATCAAAAAAGGCAAAACACACAAATAAAAGTTAATAAATTTAGAAGCCCAAGGAGAGCTGATAATAAAAAAAATGAGCCTCTTCTCTCTCAACATCACCGATAAGCCCTGTTTATACACTAGTACCTCACTGCCCTCACTAAGAAACATCAGTGACTAGCCACAAGGGAAAAGTCAACACGAGAAATTAACTGTAAGATTCTCTGGCAGGTTCTATACCCATGGTCCTCTGATACCATCTATAGCTGTTTATTCAACATAGTTTGACCAATTTTTCCCTTCCCTGGAAACTCTTCATTGCCACCACTCAAAACACAGCAAACAGATTGTTTTGTGGAAAGACTGTCAAACTACTGATTCAATTGCTTTATTGGTTATAGGAACAGTCTCGTTTTCTAATTCTTTTTAAATCAGTTTGAGTAAGAAACATTTTTCTACAAATGTATCCATTTCATCCAAGTTTCCAAATAAAGTTGTTCATTTGTAAACTCAGCTCATTATAGTAGAAAAGAAAGGCTGAAAATTAAACATCTAAGGTATAAATTTCCTTCCAGGTACCCCTTTTAGAAGCATTCCTTGAGTGGTGATTTGATATCAGCATTTTCATTATTGTTCCATTCTAAGTATTTTCTCATTTCCCTTATTTACTTATTTGACCCATGTTACTTAGAAGCGTATTTTTACATTTCCAAATACAGGCGTCTTGCTGGTTACTGATTTCTAGCTTTTAATTACAGTCTGGACAGACAAAGTCTGTATGGCACGAATCCCTTGAAATTTGATGAGACTTGCTTGATGACCCAATATGTGGTCAATTTTGTAAATGTTCTATGTGTGCTGGAAAAGAATGTGAATTCCCCAGTGTTATATGAGTTCACTAGATCATGTGTGTTCACTGAGTTGTTCAAATCTCTTGACTTTTTAATATGCTTTATCACTTGCTGAGAGAAATCAGTTAACAGCCTGCACTGTAACGGTAGGCTTGTCGGTTTCTCCTCACCATTCTGTCAAGATAAAGAGTTCTCTCTCAAAAGGACTGGCCCTGGAGTCTTATAGATCAGTACGGGAAACTGTTGGGCCAACTGGCTACCACTGTGATTAAACAAACAAATATATATATCCCTACCTCATTCCGTTTACCCAGATAAGTTCCAGTTAGGCCAAATACTTCAATTTAAAAACTAAAACAAAAGCACTGGAAGAAAATAAATATGAATACTATCCTAATCTTGAAGAACAGGACTTCCTAAGCACAAGAAGGAACACCAGAAACCATGAAAAGGCAGAGTAAACTTGGCATAAATACCTGTAACATTTGACAAAGGATAATGCCACTAGTACACAGAAAGCTCTTAAAAATAAAAAGAACCACAAGAGAAAAATGAACAAAAGGTACTAATAGGCAATTTAAAAATATAGATGGTCCGTAAACATTAAAAACTCAACGTTACTAGCAAATAAATGCAATTT